TTCCAAATAGATCATCATGAACAAGCTATGACTAATCCAAAAGAAGAGAGGGATCGCAAATAGTGATATCAATAGCAGAATAAGACCCGTTTCCAGGGTGAAGATAAGTATTAGATCCATCATTAAAAATGCATAATCCTTCTTGAGAGACAAAGTCTTCAATAATTTTACCTTTGGCATTATGAGACTTGCTTCCCCACAACGGATTGTGGGCATTGATATCTCCCATAAGTATAAAAGGTGAAGGTAATTAATCAGTGATGTTTTTGAGTTTAGCTTTCTCTATATTTGAATTGGGTGGAATATATATATAAAACATAATGTAATCGTTTTATCTAATGATGGACGAATTGCAACTGCCTGCAGATCTGTGGTTAGTTGGACTGTGCTATGAATGACGTTGTCCTTCACAAAAATAGTTGATCCGCCTTAGACAATGTGCTATAGATGTTGTATCCTTTTAAAGATACATTGTCACTTTCTTTTAGATGAGTTTCTTGAAGACAAAATGCAAAAGGTAAAAAAGACTGAACTAGAAGCGTTAACTCGAGAAGATTTATTTTAAGACCTCGGCAATTCCATTGAATAATATTGTCATTTTTTATTAACAGAAGGACGAATGCTATCGAGTTTGCCAGTATTCTTATTTCGCTCACCCTGAGATTGTGATCTTTCGGGTGGCGAAACACTTTCGATTTCCATTTCTGATTCGTCGTTAAGTGTTGAAAATCTGTTGTGTGAGGAGAGTCGTCGATCTCCTGCACCACACGCAGCTGGTGTTACTCCGCCTCGACCCCTACCCCGCGACCTGGTATCAGAAGACTTTTGAGAGGATGGATGTGCTGGCTTCTTTTGGACGTTCTTCTGTTCTGGAGAACGAAGAGGAGACGGGCTTTAGTAGACTTTGTACAGGATGCAGATATACTAGTAGACGTTTTATTTGATGCAGATGGAGGAAGACTATTTAAGACGGATAAATCATCTATGTCACTAGGAAGATCCCAGATAGATTCACTGCCCCAACTGTCTGATTTAACTGCACCTTTTTTACCTGATTTCTTTTTTTTTTTTCATTTTTTTAGGTGATGACATTGAGCTCTGTAAGAAAGATTCAGTTGACTGGGTACTGGTTTTAGGTGTTGGTTTTCTTGGAATTAATATTTTATCGTTAGGTTTTGTTTCAACAGGCAACATTGTAAATGTTTCAGCATCAATTGGCCAGGTCATGCGAGTTTGTGTATGCTCCTGACTGAATGAGCGGACAACTTTGCTTGCGTACGATGGTCCGTTCGAAACAAGGAGATCATTTGAAACAGAAGCTGTCTGTTTAGCTTATGGGTAACTGACGTTTCTTTCTGTTTTAATTTTAATAATATTTTTTTCTTTAAGGTAAACAGGGCAGTCCCTAGATGATGAAAAATGTATTTCACCACTGTTTACGCATTTAGAAGATTCAGAGCTACAGGTTGTTCCCTCGTGTCCTTCGTCAGAACACTTGAAGCATCTCTGCGTACCACAAAATTGTTTGGTTCCATGACCAAACTTTTGACAAGTGAAGCATCGAGTTGGGTTAGGGATAAACCTGTCAACTTTGATTCCAAAGCATCCTAAAGTAATAGCTGGAGGAGGAGTTGGAGTTCTAAAGGTCAAAAGATATGTATTTAATTTGATTGTATTTCCATTCTTTTTTATTTGAAATCTAACAACATCAGTTACACCTTGGCTTGAAAGTTCCTCACAAATTTCTTCCACGGTGAGGTCACCAAGGTAATGACTTCTGTCTCGAATGATTCCTTTACAACTGTTTAAACTATTGTGAGTGGAGGCAGAAACAGGAAAGTCTGTAATTGTTTCATTGTCAGCAAATTTGTTGATTTACTTTTGTTGGAACATTCAACCAACAAATTTCCTGATCTCATTTTTGAAACTTTTTTAACTGTGCCAGCAACGCTTTGGATTTGTTTATGAATCACAAAGGGGTATATTTGTGAAATAAATATGATTTTACAATTAATATTAACATAATTTCTTATCATTAACACATAAAAAGTACATGTAATTGAAATGTGATTGAATAGTTATTTAGCAATACTTTGTTTTTCAATGTAATTAATTAAATTACCATATTACATGTAAATTTAAAAATGCTCAATTACAAATGTAAAATTGAAATGCATAATAAAATTGAGAATGGAAATGGGGAATGTGTCAAAGAGACAACAACCCGACCATACGTACCGGCAGACAACAGCCGAAGGCCACCAATGGGTCTTCAATGCAGCGAGAAACTCCCGCACCAGGAGGCGTCCTTCAGCTGGCCCCTAAACAAATATGTATACTAGTTCAGTAATAATGGACGTCATACTAAACTCCAAATTATACACAAGAAACCAAAAAATAAAAATGATACAAGACTAACAAAGGCCAGAGGCTCCTGACTTGGGACAGGCGCAAAAATGCGGCGGGGTTAAACATGTTTTTTGAGATCTCAACCCTTTATTACCATAATATTTCCAGTTACCCCATCCCTGACTGAAACCATCTCAAAAAGAAGACAACGTATCGTATATGCGGAGTATGTGCAATGTCTCTTACAACCAGGCGTTTATATGCAAGTATAAGTCATGGACAGATAAAAACAACCGGGTGGCCTCCAGCACCCAACAGAGAATTTCGTTCTTTTGGAAATTGTTGTTCGACAAAATGTGATAATGTACATTTTGTAAGTGCAATTTCCGTTTGAAAAGATTCTCTGAAAGAAACGATAATAGATTTATTTTTTGTGCAACACAACACCAAAAAAGATTTTTTCCAGCTAATAACAATGCTTTAATCCTCATTGAAGACATTGTAAATGTTGATTAACTATACGTGGCAATGCAGTCAGTAAACTGCATCGTTAAAAACGCGCCCTCAGAAATAAACTGACTTCAAAAAAGCCATACAAGCCAACCATTAGTCTGCGATAAGCACAAATCATAAAAGTATCGATTATAACACCAGATGAACATTCAATTTCAGAATACTGAAAATAACGTTGAAACATTGTAAGTTATTTATCAAACTTGCATGAATTCCACTAGTTGATACAATGTATATTTATGTGGTTGGTCTAGTAATGTGAAAGAAAACCTTTTTTTTTCCTTTTTTATAATAGATAAGTCATTCACTGAAATGAGTATGGCCCCATAACATAGAATGTTAATGATATGCTGTCGCTCCAAATTAAACTGAAAACCTATTGAAAACGATCTGCGCATAGGCGGGTGTGATTTTGTTAGTTTTTATGGACCTCCTCTTATTTGAATTTGCCTTGGAGTTCTGTATTTCTTAATTACATTTGCAATGTTTATTCTACATCAATGATCAATATCAATTGATTAACAGACCAAGTTGACAACCAAATGTGGAACGAAGTTTATAAAAAGGAAGAATTGCTGCATAAAAGCAATATGAAACGTGTGGGCAAATACTTCCAGAAGACAGTGTGCCTTTCATATTCCCCACCTATTATACAAACCAGCTTATAGCACAATTCGAAATATGTTTCATGCTTTTTATTACTTGATTCAAACTAATAAGTGGTAACAACTAAAAAGTATGATGTTCGTTTAAATACATATGAACAGTTCAATAAATAAGTACAGTTTCGAAAACTCCTACATTTTACTCGTAAAGATTTATCTTTATGGATGTTGGGTCTAGATTATTGACCTGGAGGCGGGTTGTTTTTGAAAACAAATGGTGTGTTTTTATGAAAAGCAGCTAGCTTTGTCAACAACAGTAACAAAAGATCAGAAATGTAAATCATGTAATAGAGGGAAATTAACGAATTAAACGTTACACAGAGACATGTTACAGTCATGTAGTTTTGTGTTCTATAAGCGATTTTTTTTGTGTTGGAAAATTGTCATGCTAATGTGACTTACACATTACATTGAGAGTTTCATCAGTATATTTACATAGAGCGCTAGACACAGTGCAGGCGGGGAGAGAACAACAATTTGCTTCCGCAAATTTGCAGATTTAACATTGTTGTGCTGATATTGAGAGTAATTATGAGTATACTATTTGTTTTAGCCGTGTATCACCTTCACTGGTGATCCAATGATGGATCTGTCGTAGAGTTGTCACATTCTTAGAGAATCATATAATTTTAATTCAGTAACTGTTTCAGTTTATTTTCACAAGATGATCCACGCCTAAATAGATTGAATGTTGATTGTTGCTATTTTTAGACATTGTATACATATTGACACTGACGAAGGCTATTTGTTAAGCCAAAATATTTGTCAACACGATTTTCTAACATCATCTTCGTATAATACCATATCATATTAGTACCGTTGTGCATATCTTTTGATTTATATATTTTTTTCCTTATCTGCGCAGTATAGTCTATTCTAGACGATCCCGTATATATTATATTTGATGGTTGGTCCTTGTAATAGACTTATATATATATATAGATACATATATAAAACAGTGTTTACATTGACATTATAAAGGACTGTTTGTATTTATATACTAAATTGCTAGAAATTATCAACTCCTCGTATTTATGCAGAAACAGCTTACCTACGAATATTTCATGAGATATTGACACACCAACAGGCTAAAATATAAAATAAAGAAATGTCAGTATGATTACAATAATAGTAGTTTTAACACAGTTTCAAACGAAATTCGTCTATTTTAAAGCAAACTCTAACATGATATGTTTTCAACATGTGAGGTCATTTCTTTTTTGATGGCAATATAAATAATGAACATCATTGTTCCGTATTCTTTAATTCAAAAGATTCCTTACATGAAAAATCAAAACATGATTTTTAATGTATCTCAATTTGAATTGTTAACAAAAAAAACAAATTTCAGTTCTAATTTAGGTCAATGTTAAATACCAGACTTCAAACTTTAGTTGAATATCATTTGCATGGTCTGTCAGTTTTCTATACAATATCAGGTATCCTGTTTAAAGTTTGATTTCAAATACAACCACCTATTTTAATATGTCGCAATATAAGGTACACGTATATATAATACAATTATAAATATTGGGGTTTGTCCACAGGAATCGCAAAATATCATATTTAAGTTCAAATGCGGAAGCCGTTGGGATAAAATGGAATTTATATCAAATAACGTTTCACTAAAATGCTGAATATGTGATGATATTGCACAATGGACACTCTGTCTTTTCAAGTCAATAACTTATAATGGATAACATAACGCATTCATTTCATCATCTTGTCGTATTCAACTCTGGATGCAATAGTTTCAGGTAAGCATATTTAGCTTAATAAACATGGTCATTCTACGTTTTATCTATCTTAAAAACCTAAGTTAAACTAGGTTTTTTTCGGAGAGTAAAAAGTGGCGGACGGCTTCCAACAGTTTTTGTGCAATAACTTATGAACCATTCAACCATTGATTTTAAAATTTTGATGTGTTAATACTAATGACAAAATGGAGGTAAAATTCAATATAGACGATTTTCACTTTAACCGTTCATGAGTTACCGTATGTCCCTTGATCTATTGGAAACTGGCGGCTGCCAACAGTGTCCGTGCAATGGCTTATAAACCGTTCAAGCAATGCTTTTCAAATTGTGATATGCTGATACTGATGACAAAATGGAGGTAAAGTTCGATATATACGATTTTGATTTTTACCGTTCAGGAGTTGTCCTTGATTTATTGGAAACTGGCACTTTATTTCGTTTCCGTTAAATAACTTATGATACAATTTCTATCATAAATAAGTATCTATGAATAAATGATGACAGTATTTATCCGATGTTTAAATTTTGTAAAAACGACTGTATATATAACATTTTTGTCAGTAGACTTGTTACTACTAAAATCCAGTACTGTATATATGATGTCATATGTATGTCTATATCCCTGTTGGCAAACTTTGGTCATTTTTTATCCATAGTTTGTTTTCTGATTTTTAGGACTGTAGCTTTAGACACATTTTAAAAAGATTTTTTTTTTTTTTACACAAAATAGAACATGATCTTTTTTCAACATGTAAGGTCATAACTTCTTTGTTTGGATTATAAATAATGAACATTATCGTTCCGTATGCATTTATTCAAAAAATAACTTAAATAGCAAAATACTGAACACGATATTTAAATCATTTTTTTAAGTTTAAATTCAGTACCGTAACTATAATTGTTAAACTACAATTTTACAATTCTTATTTAGGTCAATGTTAAATACAAGACTTCAAGCTTAAGTTCAAATATCATTTGCATGGTCTGTCAATTTTCTATTAAAAAAAATATGAGGCATCCTGTTTAAATGTTTATTTAAAATACAACAAATAATTTAAAATATGTCACAATATACATGATATAAGGTACACACATATACATAAAACAAATATAAATATTGGGGTGTGTCCAATTGAATCACACAATATCACTTTTAAGTTCAAATGCAGTATCCGTTGTGTTAAAATGGAAGGTCTATCAAATAACCTTTCACAACAATGACGAATGTGTGATGATATTGCACAATAAACACTCTGAACTTTCAAGCCAATAACTCAAAATGGACAACATACAGTATTCATTTCATCATCTTTGTTTTATTTACATTGGTAAATGGATTAAGTAGTTTCAGGAAAGCATAATAAGTTTAGTAAATATTGTCATCCTACGTTTTATCAATCTAAAAAAAATAATTTTAATATCTTTGAAATGTAACCACAACAAAATACAATTACACGCTTTCAGTAAATATGTTAACTCAATCTTGACAAATTGATTTGATTGTAAATGTCCTCATGTTAGTCTTTAATATATAGAAACCAAGTAAAGACAATTAAACTCTCTTTGCGATGTATTCACATAATTTCAAATATTGTTTAAAAACTACACCATTAAATAACAAAGTAGGATAACCGTTGTCACTTGTTAGATGTGAGTCGTTTATTCTTTAACAATGATAAGGGGGAAATAACTGATTATTAGAAATAAATCAAATTATCACGAAAAGACAGTATTGAACACGTTCATTTTCTCAATTATGTTTGTGATTTTGAGAAAATTGATGTAAAATTTGTTAATAACGAACTAATCGAATGTGCAAATAAATTGAAACTGATAATATTACTATCAAAAACCGATTTATTTTTCTGGCGACGTTATTAGTAATTTTTTTTTTACTTTGTACCATATTGTTTAAATCGTTCTTTAAGCGATACTATGTACCCGCCCTCTTTATATTTATAATTACTTAATTAAGATAAACTTGTTTCAACGGCTTTCCTTTGTTATAAAATGTCGAATACTGACTTTCTTTTCGAAGAAAAATCAACAAAAATTAGAAATATCAGTGAAAGGAATACAAAGAGTGCAAGTTGTTTTCATAATTTATGTATTTGTTTTGTAACATAAAATTAACATGAAAATCATGATAACTTGGGTGAATGCCAATGAACCAACATCACAACCAGATACGATTTCAACCATTTTAAAGCAAACATACCCGCCATGCGAATCTACAAGCGCTTAAATTGTCGTAATCAACAAGATCACAACCTGTAATATTACAGTATAGACAATTATTTCTGACATCTAAAGAACTAAGATCGCGCAGCATGTCGCTAGAGTATTGAGACACCGACGTATCATATCGGTCATTCAATTCGTGATTGTGACCGTAAAATTTCAGTCGTTCTTCCTCATAATTCTGTTGGAGTAGTTTTTGTATAAAATTGGGTAAAATCTACAAAATTAAATTGTACAATGTTTACCTATAAAATCGTAATTGCACGGTAGATGAAATTCTGCATTTGTGAACATGCTTCCACAATAAATCACTTTATTTGTAATACACATTTTAACCGTTGAAAACAATTATTGGTTATATATGAAAGAGGGACGAAAGATACCAGAGGGACAAGTCAAACTCATAGATCGAAAACAAACTGACAACGCCATGGCCAAAAATAAAAAGACAAACAGACAAATAATAGAACAGATGACACAACATAGAAAACCAAAGACTAAGCAACACTAACTCCACCAAAAACTGGGTTTGAATTACGATTATACCAAAGATCTTTGCCATTTATATATCCATAATTGTTTTTGTAGGATCACATTATCATTTGTGTAAAATTCTGATACGTGATCATAAACCAGAATTTAAAATCGTTATTCTTTTGTTAAGATTGATGAAGACAGAACAAAATATGTTTTCTTAATGCATTAAAAAATACAAGACGTATACATTAAGATCAATTACATTTTTCAAATCGACTTATTGAAAAGATCAGTTCAATGTTTCTTTTGTTATGAGGATAGGAGTCTATAAATACTATGGTAAATAGTGGTGTTTTAGATGTATTATTAAACCGGCTATGTTCGTCATACCTCGCCTACATTTAAAACGTCCATAGCGTGTATTGACAATCCTTTTAGGTCATTTGTTATAGGTAATAAACCCTTTGTTTGTTGCAAATGAGTTCTCGTTGACAGTTTGACTGAGAAGCAGTTTATTGAAAAAGAAACAATAAATATCATAAATGTACATTGTATCTGACGAACTTCATGTTTGAAATGAAAATTGTGTGTTTCAAATTAAAATGCCACATGTGAACATGTTGTATGCTAGTCCAATATTTCTCTTATTAAATATTAACCTGTCCTATATTTCACATTTTTAAGCCTGCATCAACATAACCAAACCTCTCTTTTTTCAAAGGGTACTTGAAAGAAGCGCCTTAGTAGTCAGAAAAATCAAATACCAAACAAGATTTAATGTGAAAAATATCAAAATACCCTGATCATTTGTTAAACAAAAGGAATAATCAGACAAACTATTCTACAACTTTCCACACAGCTTACTGTAGAACGAATGGTAGTAAACAATTAGGGAAAGATATCATATCTAAACGATCCGGTTATGTACCGTTCTTCATTAATATTACGTTTTGTTAAAATGTGATATCCAGCATGAAGAAAGGAGATTATCATCTTACTTTTGTATAAAATATATACATGTATATGAAAAAAAAAAGAAAAGAAGGAAAATAACATTTTTTAGTGCTGATGGTAAAATCATTTAGTGAATTTCGCAATCGTCCGTTAAGTTTCGTTTTATTGTGATATTTAAGAATTGTGGGGACAAGAAGTGTTATATCTCAAGTATTGTACATCAAATAGTTTCAACATGTTATTTGATGCTTTTGATATTTTTATATAATTTATCTTCCATACTTAGTCTGTTGTATGTATGCATTCCTTTGCCACCTTGTATGTGTGATAACACAAATTTAAGCGCGTTTGACTGTTTTGGTCACCTAAAAAATTAAGTTTTGGTATATTGAAATTTCAAACATGAGTCAGAGGCTTAATTATTTGTGTGGCCTTTGTATTTAATGCCTAATCAATTTTTAAACTATTTTACAACATAAAGTTATCGAGGTCTATCTATCTATTTACCTATGATTTGTTATCACTCGGTAGTTTTACAGAATATTTTCTAATCCTCTCATCATTAACTCATTTTACATGTATGTTTAGAATTTAGGACATCTCTCTTCTTGACTATATATTTACTAGGCATAAACAAATAAAACAAATATCTTGACATCGACCAACGGTGCATCAAGAATAAACAATATTATTAAGCCAAATATTGGGTTATTAAGCATTGTAATCCACAGTTAATGGTCCAATATCTTAACCTTAGATTTGTTTAATGTTTATTATTTTAGATGGAATAATTATTTATAAAGAACAGAAATCATGGACATGTTCATCCTACTGACTGTTCTCCAGGTATGTATAATTTAAAATCTGACATATCTTCAATTATAGAATGGTTCTTTTCTGTATCTCAGTCTTGTTTCGGGTTAAGGAAGTTTACCATGAAATTGTCACATCAACGTTAAATTTAGTAATGATGTTCATTTAATGCAAACGATTTGATTCACATTCCAAATAACTGTTTTGACCCCGATTTCATGGTTCCCTAATCAATGCTAATCACAGAAATGTAAAGTGTGAAATCAGTTCATTCCCAGTATAATATTTGATTCAAATTAATTTACTATTGGATCAACTTCAAACTTTAGTACAAATGTCCATTATGATGTTTTCCACGGTTCATTTAAGGCGGACATATTGCAGTGTAAGCGTGGCATGATGTTTTATGAATTCATACCCGTGTTCACACAGTCTTGAGCAATCAAGGATTGTTGTTTGTTTTACGTCCAGTGGAAAATACTTCATGCATTTTCAGAACGAAACAAATTATTGATAAATACAAAAGGATGGTTCTGCAATTGGTGAATGACTTTGGAAAATGTGGACATTTTGGTTAGGAATCAAGATCACAGTTAGAGGCAACAGTAGTTAATCGACTTTCATATCTCACAAATCAGTCATTTATCATCGTAATTAGGTTTGGTTTTCATTAATTTTCTGTAAATAGAATATTGAATTATTGGAAACAATATGGTTTTTCTACCATTAATTTCTAACAAATGCTCATATCCTCACACGATATGCGTTGAATGGAATAATGATTGATTGTTGTTTGCCTTACGTTCAATGGCATACATTTCATGGATGTTCAGGATGAAAACAAATTATGAAAAACAAAAGGTCGGTCCTGTAGTAGGAATAGACCGGGATTAGAGGTGGAGAATTTGGAATTCCACAGGGGGTTTATTAAAAAGAGACAGAAATAAAGCATTGTGACAGGCTAACTTCAAAATACCCTCAAGCAGTTGGTGCAAGTGTTCTTCGTGTGCGTAGAGCATGGCGCTCTTTCTACATGAACAGCGAATTTAACGTTCCCATCCTGACTTGACATGTCTGCGTATTTATAAATCCAGCACTGCACAACGTACGCCCCACGAATTTTGGCAGGGTTCATGTAGCTTAGTCTTTAGTTTTCTATTTTGTGTTTTGTGTACTGTTTTCGGTTTTTTTCGTCGATTTTCGTTTTTTGCCATGATATTGACAGTTTGTTTTCGAATAACCCTTTGGTATTTTTCACCTCTCTTTAGCAAGGGTTTAACTGCCATCTAGGATTGCAAGTATCCATTTTAAAGTGTTGATAGACAGATATTTCCTTACACCACCAGTGCGTCGCAGATTCTCCTCCCGGAATTGTATTGTCCGTATTACATTAAAATGTATCCATAATAAATAATTGAACTATAACCAGTTTCAGACCACAGTTCAAAGCTTTAAAATCAGTCTGATAGTATACTTATTAACATATTTTACTTATTGAAAGATTTAACTATAACTATTTCACTAACGTAAGAGCAACACAATATTGTTAAATGAATGATGTTATAGTAACTTCAGTTTCATTGTTTTCTGGACAACCACTTATGAACACCTTTCAAGATCAAATGGTATTCAACTGGATGGAGTCGAATAAAAAGTCCCATTCAATTTATTTGTGGCCATTACATCATCAGACAAAAGTTTGTTTGGTAATCTATTCCGTCGTTTCCGTCATTTATCTTCAGTTGCACGAACTGAAATAAACGAGGTTTCACAAATTTCAGATGAATTCTTAGAAATTTCAAACCGTCATATTCAGTAGCAAATATATAATCTTATATACATTTCACATAAATGTCTAGGTCAGTTTTTCCTTTCGTTTAATGTGTTTGAGCTTTTGGTTTTGCCATTTGATAAAGGACTTTCCGTTTTGAATTTGCCTTAGAATTCGTTATTTTTGTTATATTACTTTTTTCTCAACACTTTCACTGCCGGAATTATGATTCAATAGAAAATTATGTAGGAATTGAATTTGACGAATATTAAAATCAACAGTAGTTTACCGATGTTTAATTTAAAAGTCAATCATTCTTCATCGTAACTCGGTTGGGTTTGCTTTAATGTTCAGTTTTTCGACACACTAAGGTTTTTTTTCTACCACTGGATCAGATTGCCCTATCTGTAATTGACACAAATTTTCTTTATTAAAAGCTATAAAATAACATTAACAGTACTAATTCTTCTGCACCAGATGCGTGTTTCGACGAAACCTGTCTCCTTCGTGATAATCGAGGCCTATTCTAGAGGTGGCGTGAATCAGATGTGGATACTAATAAATTCCAAAGATCTTTTAGAGTACATACAATCTAAGACTCTTTCATTTTGCAATAGTATTAAAACATTTGACTTTTCTACACTTCCCCATTCCAAACGAAAAGAAAAATTGAAAGAGCTTCCCAATTGTGAACTTTACATTTCTATGTAGCAACATTCCAGCAGCGCCTGCATACGGAGTATATATCTCCCAGCTGATTCGGCATTCTATTGCTTGTATTTCCTATCATGATTTCCATGATAGAGGGTTGCTGCTCACAAGGAAGCTAGTAATCCAAGAGTTCCAAGTGGTGCAGTTGAAATCATCCCTACGTAAATTTAACGGACGCCATCACGCGTTGGTTAATTCGTTATGAAATATTCGTTTCACAGATGATGGCGTATATGTTCTTGATGTCGTGACTACAATACCGTCTCCTTTTCACCAATGTGACCTACCGAATTAGACTTATAACCGGGTGTGTACTAACATGAGCAACGCGACGGGTACCCCATGTGGAGCAGGATCTGCATACCATTCCGAAGCACCTGAGATCACCCCCAGTTTTTGGTGGGGTTCGTGTTGCTCAGTCTTTAGTTTTCTATGTTGTGTTTTGTGTACTATTGTTTGTCTGTTGGTCTTTTTCTTTTTTAACCATGGCGTTTTCAGTTTATTTTAGACTTATGAGTTTGAATGTCCCTCTGGTATTTTTGCCTCTCTTTTAAAGTATAGCAGAAAGCTGGGCATGGAATCAGAGCTTCCATGAGAGAGATGTATTCCTTAATTTAAAATAATTTCCAAAATTTTGTAAGGGCAAAGTATTATAACACTTCATCCGTATAACTTCGTATTTGATTTGGCCTACCAAGATTATTGGCGAATCTTATCTAGACTCAACGCCCGTCTGCATACACAATTTAAGGTTGTTTTTTTATGAGTTTTTATGTGCTCACAAACCATTGCCTATGTGCGTCTGTGTTAACAAAATACAATTTTGATAGAATACTTGCTTTAATTATTGATGAATATGCATTTATTTTTTTTTGTAGATGTTATCATTAAATGAAGCATACAACTTCACCTGTCCATCGCAGGCACACTGGAATATTCGGGCAAAATCCATGTGTGAGCCTTCAAGAAATTATACTTGTTTATTTAACGTAACTTTTAGAGTAAATGTATACAGAGATAGATGTAACAGACCTAGAATTTTAGGTTCTGGTATGTAAATAACTAATATTTGTCCTGTTAATAATAGCATGTAAATTTATTTAGTTTTGAGCTTGATTAGAGTAATAAATAATAGTCGTTTTTATTAATTATTGTATTTCATTGTAAATAAATAACTTTGTTGTGAACGTATTTGATTACATGTACCAAAATTAAGAAGTGGCACATACAGCGGAATATAACTTATACTGTCAAATAATTAATAAAGTATTAAGCACTTTCTTTACTTAACATTTGCAGGTTATAAGTACGTCTTTCAGCCGAACTTAAACAGAGCAACATGCAGTGTAACTCGATATCAGCCTTTCATTTTTGACACAATCGGGCACAGTGACTGCACCTATCAAAAATCACTCTGTAACAGCTTAGGTCAGGAGACGTATGAAAACGGCAACACTGCGGTCGACAGAAAATGTATTTGTAATACCGATAGAGGATATTCGTTTGTCAAGAACTTGCAAAACCAGTGTTACTGCAATCCTTCAACTGAAGATTGCTCCTGCTATCTCGGAATAAATCCATACAACGAAACGGTTGTACTGAAAGGTAAATTACTATTCTCTTTTTGTCAGGTCTAAATACTATCAATATGTAACAAACATAGGGAGCTGTCTCACTATTAATGATGCCAAAAAGATGTTATTTGATTTATATTTAGGTAAAGTTTAGCATCTCATTGACCAATATTCCATCATTTTAATTTTCTAAAGAAACTTAACAACAGACTAGAACACTTTCATCTTTAGATTATTACTAAAATTCAGTAATATTTTATATCGTTAATTCTTATGTCTTCTGATTAAATATTTTTCGGTAAAATTTCAGCCTTACTTTCATCAAACTTTTTTTACATAGATTTTAGCCTGTTTATTAAAATCCCTAACCAGTTTAGAGATTAAGGAAAGGATTATCAATATAATAAGGCCTTTTTTCTACTATTAGGTCGATTCCAGTGCCGGTGGACATTTAGATCCCAGGATATTTCCAGCCAAGTAGTCAACACTTTCATGTTGCTATCAATAATCATTGCAACGTTCATTTTAATGTAAATTTACTTTTTATTAAATGTTGAAATATTTGAAATACTAAGGATGTTTCTCTTCAGGCATAAATACCCTTATTGGTATTTGGCACACCTTTGTGGAATTTTGGCATGCAACTATGTTTTTTTTTAGTTTTAATTTGATATGAACTTTTAATTGTGCAACGAATTTATTTTTTGACATTTTCATCGTTCATGTATTGGTCCTAAGTCAGAATCCCTGTCAGGTTACTATTGAATTTATTCAGTTTGATGCATTATTTACAATTTCATAATTATCTCTTAAGAAATTTACATGTTGCACACAAATGTAAAGTAATAGCATCTTAATATACAGAAAACGAATCCCTCGTATATGTTTATAACCAAAGAAACTTTAATAGTGCAATGAAAACAATTGAGTGAATTTTCATACATGCTAGTTATCGAGATTGTGCAAACTAATTTGTTACCGAACATTACAACTGACGGGAAATGTTCCGTTTATTCATGTGTATACCACTTACAGAACGGAAACATTTTAAAAGAAAAACAAACTTATCAGTTATATTTTTCAGATATGAAGTGCTATGATGACATGAAAATGACAAGAAGACGTTACTTAGGAGATAGGTAAGTGTTTGTTTATGTCTCAAATTATATGTTTTTGTTTTGTTCAATTTTTTTTATACATCAATCTACATATATATATATATATATTTAGTATGGCTCGTTGAATATATTTTTAAAAAACATAAATTTTAGTTTTCATGATGCGCAAGTGAATGTCTATTTCAAAGGTTTTTTTTTATATATACCAATACCAAATGGATACAGGTGTATCAGTTATGCTCACGGCGAAAGGTTCATACAATTTCAAAAGCTACATACTTTTAATTCATGTAAGTAACGTTGATAAAAATATTTGATTTGCTAGCTGTAACTTAGGGAGTTGAAATTATATAGTTTTATGATTATTTTTCTGATTCGATCTGTACAAAACTATGCGACAATAATAATGTTTATGCGTATTTTTTATAGGTTTAATATATCACGGAAGATTAAGATCGTTGAGTTTGACAACTACAGATACAACGTAAACAATGTTCCTACAAGTAAGTTAAAACCTGATTTAAAAAATATCAATCTGAAATAATAAAGTAATTCGAAGACAATAATCGGGTTTTTTTGGCGTCGCATTGTGTAAGTCTTCATCGTTATAAATTAAAAGAAACCAGATACAATAACCAAAATAAGCGTACCCTGCTGTGCATGCATCATGCAAATTTAAACTCAATCAAATGTCACAATCGGGAATAGGACACAATCGGAAGAATTACAGATTAGTCGAATATACTGATATCTACGATTTTATGACCATGAATACTAGTACATATCGCTAGTTAGTTGAGACACCGACACATCGCATCGGCCAACCAATTCGTGATGGTGCCCGTAAAACTTATGAAATGTTGATTGTTCTTCCTCTTAACTCCCTGGGAGCAGTTCTGGTGTAAGGCCCTTGTTAACGAAGTCCGCAAAGTGTGAACATTCACGAGCAAGAAGTATAAGTTGAGATATGAAAACCCCATACGACAGGGCAGAGGGTATGTAACTGCTGAGAAATGTGAAGTTGGCAATTGGAAAATCATCTCGTTTGTCATAGATTCTAGCTAGAAATATCAAGGGAAAAACAAGTTACGAAGCAGACCTTTTACTTTCGATAGTATCCTTTATATTAAGTTCATTGGCATTTATGTAAGCACTCATTGAAATGTGAGTTATTGAGTGACATGACATCGTCAATATAACTGAAGGTGAAATTGGAGAATTTGGCAAGACAATTTTCTTTGTCTTTGAGAGGTTTTTGTGTGAATTCATATTTATACGAGTACAAAAAACAAATCGACCAGTAATGATGCACAATAATTCCTATTCAATACCGATTGTCTGCTGATATATGTATCCATCCAACCAACACATATGTGGTTGATAAAAAAGACCAGCACTTTGATAATATCATCTTCGTTGTACTTGCTGTCAGAATCAGTGTGCTACTGTACAAAGTCAGATTTTTCATGACTCAAACAGACGGATGACCTGAAAATAATTAGAAGATTTTTTATTTGTTTTTATTTGATAAAATGATAGATCAAATGAAGAATGTAGTAAGCAATTTGATATATCATCCAAAGGGATCTTCCCAGAATATTTGGAACGTCCTCAAAATGATTTAAACCAAATCGCTAATTGATATGCATTTACCTTTGTTTTTTTTAGACTTGCCATCATCATAACTTTTGCTACATAGAACACACACACTAAATAAAACATTCAATTGAACATAGTTTATGTTTCAAACTATCAGTTAAAGTTACAGTCTTTGGTTGTGAAATCATACATTAATTAAAAAATGGACAATAACCATGTCGTGAAATCCAGTACACTTTTATCACCTGTTTTTCGTTTTTGTTTTGCAGCTGAATATCGCATCAAAGCAGCTAAATTTGTTATGATAGTATCATTTGCATACTGTAAGTACTTTAAAATATAGTTTGGAAGTAGTCTGTGCAAATGGTACTAGTATTAAAAGGTCCACACCAGAGAAGGAATCTTGCATTGAATAATTAAAAAAAACTCTCAGAAGGATTATTTATAATTATATGGTGCATGCCTAGAACAATATTGTTTTAATACAGCAATAATATTATTCATCGAGAGAATTGAAGATCGTTTGTGTTACAAAAAAAAGTAAAATAACCAAAATACCGAACTCCAAGAAAAAATCAAAACGGAAAGTCCCTTAACACATGGCAAAATCAAAAGCTCAAACACATAAAACGAATGGAAATCAACTGGCATATCCTGATTTTGTACAGGAATTTCCTTATGTAGCACTAGCTAACATCTCACTTGTATGACAGTAGCATATAATTACATTATATTGACAACAATGTGTGAGCAAAACAAACAGACATAAAAGGTAAAATTGTCAAAAATTGTAAATTTGGGAATAGCAGTCAACATTGTGTTATAATCTTAATCACAATAAAAACAAATATGTCAACAAAGAAAAAAAAATGGCATGTAGACACTCTATAGACAAAGCACATAAGCAAAAATGAAAAACAAGAATACAAAGGATGACCATGGCACAATAATACAATTTTATGAATTAAAATCCTATGAAACGTCAATTAAAAAAAGAGTTGAATATGTTTTATATACTTGAATGGCTATAAAACAAGTGTACGTGAACTAAAAAGAAAATCCCTTATATTATTTAAATCTTCATAAATATACTTCTATTGAATTATTGTCTTCCAGTATACTAAATCGTCGATATTTTCTCGTATGCAGTATCCTTAACTACGAGACCTCTCGTACGAACTTAAGCCACCTCACAGTGCAAGCTAAGGGGAAAAACCATGAAGAAAAAATGTAAACAAACGTGCGCTGGAAGATAAATAGTAATAAGTGGTTCTTAAAGAACAAATTGTAGACACTAAATCAATTAACAAGTGTTGAGGAAAAGTTTAATTAACAAATGGGGACGCATAGAAAATAAAAAGAAATATGACTCTATCAATAAACTTTTCCATGTGTTCCACTGCTCTGCGTTTATTAATGTCACTATCAGGTAAACTTCGGCAACAAACTCTAAGGTTAATTAGCTTGCGATCAACAACCACGGAATGACATATGTTTTCTACAATGCCTTATAGATTCGTAATAAATTTAAAAAAAAGTGCAAATAGGACTTAGTTTAGTATATCCTAAAACACACCCCCACAACGCGGGTCCGTGACTGAATTAAAATACATGTGCCTTATTTTATTGTCAGGATTTTCATTATCCGTATTGTCATCTGATAAAGTCATGCAGATTGTAAGGTGCACAGTTTTCTGTTTTCAGAGTCTTTCTGTTTGAACCCGTCCTGGTTTTTTTACTACATTATATATATTATTTGTTTTTAACTTGGTGTTGAGGGGGAAGAAAACAGACTTGTTAAATAGTGTACTATAGTGTAACATAGATTGAAACAACAACAGGAAGAATTTCAGGTTCTCCTGATAGAGGAGGGATTTAAAGAAGGTAACAAGTGAAATATACTATTGGTATTGGTATCGGACTCGACCCGTCACTTGTTAATTATTGGTAATATTAATTATATGGAAAACTCGACAAAAGGGCATGGAATGGTTTAATTTTTAAACAACACCATTGTCCTATATAAGTTATATATACAGTGTAATTCTATGATTCGTCGTTGTTACGTCATACCGGCTAACAAATTGGACCTCGTAATTTTAGTAGTATAGATGCTTGCATTGGTTCAATAATTTCGAAAACTTTATAATTACAAGAAACTCGTTTTACATGACTTTAAGTATCACAAAAGTGTCTTTTTAATTCAAATTACACAAGTCGGTTTTATATTTCAAATATACCTTAATTACTTAATATTATTTAAGTCAATAATTATTTGAAATCACTTGAAAAAAAAATCAGAAAACACAATGTTTTGGGATTGATATTTAAACTTTTAGTAAATAACGAGAACATTGTTAACAAATATTCAAAACTATTTTTCTGGTAATTATTAAACAGTGGTTTTGTTATAAGATTCTTTATAAAGGCGGCGCCCAGATGTCAAAGCCATGACGCAAAGATTAATTAAAAAAAAGGAAAACGATTTATATACTTGCTTGTTCGAAAGTAATAACGACATAACTGATTTCTTGTTGCTTTCTATAGGGTATTTGAAGTATGCTTTACTTAATGTTAATCTTTTTTTTTTTTAGCCATGACATTGCCCGTTTACTTTCGACTTATGAGTTTGAATGTCCCTTTGGAATAGCTTCTCTTTTACTTTCATATTTGTAATGTAATTTATTCTAATATGATTTCGAAAAAAAATGTAACATGTGTAAGGTTGATCTGGTGTCTTTCGCAATTTAGGATTATGAAATAGCAGAAAGCAATCTAGATCAGAAATAAAATAGATATCTTTTTATTAAGACTGTTTTTACAAGTTCATAAAATAATTCAATAGTTTTTCAACCTGGTCACTTAAGAGGAGATAACTCAGTTAACCTAACTTTTATGCAGACAAGTGAAGTGAATTTATCTCTTTTGTTTTGATGCAAAAAAGAGTCCCGTGACCCAAGTTCTACTTTTTTATATTCTGAAAGGTATTTAAGAGCTATCTTCTGATAATTTATCTATCTTCAAATTCTACTGTTAAGTTTTCTTTATATCATATAAAATTGGTTTTAACATGTATAATCCATACAAAATCTTACAATTTTGCACAATCTTTGGCTTGAAAAAAGTACATTGACACATCCTTTTTTATTTTGTTTGAAATATATTTAAAAGAAGGCAATACCTTATTTATATTGGAAAAAGAATTTACCAACAAGGTATTTGAGACTTTTTCGAAATTCCAAAGAATATTATAAGAAATTAAAAAAAAGAAAAAAAATTAAGTTCATCTTAAAATAAGAAAATGGAGAAAATTACAATCATCTCTGTTCATTAGAAGAACTTAAAACATCTTATATGATACAGCTTTTGGTCCTGGTAATGTCCTGATAATACTGCATTTTTCTTAACCAAACAAAGATCATACGGATCCTATGAATTATCGACCAATTGCTCTTACCAGTTGTGATTGCACAATGCTTGAACAGATGGTCAAGGATCGTCTCGTATGGTGCATGGAATCTAATTGGCTTTTAGCTAAAATCCAGTTCGGATTTTGACAGGGCCGTAGTACTCTTGATCACCTTTTTCATTTTCGATTTGAGTCTTTCATCATTAATGGTTTCGCGAAAAATGAGCTTGTGGTGTCATTTATTTTTACCTTAAATTCATTGTCTCTTTGACAAGCAATTGAATGTTAGAATTAACTCAAATATGTCTTTATGATCAGGAGAGGGGAGTCTCTCAGGGGAGCATTGTGTCTGTTGTTATTTTTAAAATTCCTTTCAGATTGTCTATTGACAACTGTAAAGATTTATTGACGTAGAACATGAAATTTTATCATTTTTTTCAGTTGTTGTTTGGATTATTGTCATGAGAATTATGCGACAATGGATTGGAAGTCGTATCAGTAAGTTCTTTAAATATACAGACCATAAGGTGACTGGGGAATATAAATGTGGTCTTTTTTATCTCTTGGATTTATAGCACTTAATTTTATGCAATACAGATGCGAGTCTTGAATATGAACAAAAGTTGAGTAGAAATATACAAGACTTATTGTCCTCTTTTTGATGAAATTGATTTTCACGATACTTTTGAAGATTAATGTGATTATCGTGCAAAAATGAAGCTGTCAAATATACACTAAATAAAAAAAAACATTAGTTAGAGAGAATACCAAACCCATTCATCATTAAAGAACCATTTCAACAACTTCTTCTGTGGCAAAATTTCTGCTCATATTCAAATTAAACAGTCCCAAAGGGTGGCTGGGGAATAGAAGTATGGTCATCATTGGTCTTCCTCCGACCGGCAGTAAAACCCTCGCTAAAGTGGGGCGTCAGTTTGGCTGTGCGGGATTTACAAATTTGCAGCCACGTCCGGCCAGAATGGGGACATTAAATTCGATGCCTCGTGTAAAGAGAGTGTCACGTTCTTTGCACGTTAAGAACCCTTGCAACAACTCTTTGAGGGGTCCGTAGGTGACCTGTTGCAAGGCTAAATTTCTGTCCCTATCCAATATACCCTCATTTCCCGTGGCAGTCTAAATTTCTCCGACCTTAATCCCGGACTCCTCTATTACAGAACCTACCTATTGTATTTATTGTTAATTTGTTCTCGTCCTGAATATGCATGAAATATTTGCCACTGGACGTTAAGCAACCAACAATCAATCAATCAAATTAAACATATTTTCTAACTGAAAGACTGAAAATGACCGTATCATATCAACATCAATACTGACAAGTTTGACTTTTTTCACATATTTATTGATCGTGTCTTGCTGATCATTTCACTATTTACAGTTTCTCTTAAATTTTTAATAGTTGTTTGCCTAAAACGCAAAAAGCGTACGAAATTGTTTATAAGGGAATCTATAAGTAATCACCTGACAAATTTGAATAGGTTGACATAGTTGTAGAACTTGCCAAACAATTGATAAACATGTCATTTAAGGGCAATTGCCCCTGTATGGAGTCGTTTGACTACTAAGGTCATGTTGACTTATTGGTAGGTCTTGTCTTGTTGATAATTTTTACTATGAAAATTTCTCTTTATTTATGATAATTTTCAATATTATAGACAAAAGTGATAACTGTCTTTTAAGGTACCAGTCTTGTATTACAACTCCAGTTTCCGGTGCATGTCAAAACATGGAGTGAAATAAAATAGTCCATTTTTTTCTGAATTTTTTTCTGGACTCAATTTTTTCTGTTTGATTAAAAGTTTATGCTGAATTGAAACATATATTTAGATTTTAAAAAAATCTTGGATCTTTTTGGGGATATCAAACCAGGAAAGTGGAAGGATATCATGTTTACTGGAAGTGGTGCGACCTAGTAAAAACAGCAAACAGAAAGTAGAAAAGAATTAGGGTTACATAACTTTTTATTCTTCATGGCATGACCCTTTTTTTTCTCGATTAAATCACAATTTCATATTAGTACATACATGATATGCACATGAAAAAAAAAATTCTATGTAGCATTTTATTTTAAAAATCTTTCAAAGATCAGCTGTTTAGCATGTAAGCCTATGGAGAACTCAATTACAAGACTGCAACCTGCATAGGGAATTTTTTTCCTATGTTCACTGCAAGGAAGTAGCTCATGTGGACTTTTGTGTGCCCAGAATGGCAAAACATCATGATTAAAGGTCTTTTTAAGAAAGAAAAATCAAGGGGTATCAAGTTACACTGAAAAAACCGAAATTATTTAATAATTAAGACACCATACAAAAGTATAAAAAGATATAAAGCACAACAGTTTGAGGTAAATTGAGATTCTGGTAGTATAACATATATGATTTTCAATTAAAAAGAGCAAAGAAAGATTTTTTCCTCCATGAAACCTATTTCTTGTGATGAAAATTCTAGTTGAGAAGTTTCATTGAAAATCAGTGTAAAGTTGAATAGACAGCTACATACAAAAGTTTTTTTTTCTTTAGGGTTATTATTTTCATGGCTCTAACGTTGACATTTAGGTAGAATATATATAAAATGAATTTTTGGTGAAAAGATTTTCATAAAATTTTCATTTTACAAGAGTCTATTACTTCTTTTCCTGTCTGCCGCACAGTTAATGGAAAATTCCATATTTGGGTTACAAATTTGTTTAAAAAGTTGAATTTTTCTAAAACTATCCATGATGGCAAGGATTTTTGTGCTTAGGTGTGACAAGTAATCAATATTCTTAAAAAAACAGCAACTTGAGTATTCATTTTGTTTATTATAGGATTTTATTGCAAATTTTATATGCATGGGGGTGTGAAGTACAGCCTAAAAACCATCATATAGTAGGCATGTATAAAGACATGTATAGTCAAAATAGAGAAAGGAATAGTCTTTCTTGTCTTTAAATAGTTGTATTGCAACAAATTCTTCAATACGAAAAAGTTTTGGGGTAGTTTTTCAATTTGACTAAAACAAGAGGCCCACTTGGATAGATTTCATGGAAAAAAGGGAGAGGGGTAAAATATTGAATATGGTTCGATCAAAGAGAAGGAAAAAATATAAATAATAAATAGGAATTCTCTTTTACCTTCACAGTATCCAAATAATTAGTAAACATTCATAAAGATAAACTAGAGATTTACTGATCATTTGATAGGCGTGACTTATTTCCTAATTTTGCCTTGTTTCAGAAAAGGGTACTCCTTTAATAATGGGATTATATTTAATAATACAACTAAACAATTCTTTTAATGTCATTTTTTATGTTCAAATATGGCTACTTAATGTAACAAAATAAATGATTTATTTTTTAAAGACATGTCATTACAGTTATAGGTAACAGTCTTGTACTACAACTCCAGTTTCCGGTGCATGTCAAAACATATACCTAGTAGTCCATTTTTTTCTAAATTTTTTTCTAGACTAATTTTTTTCTGTTTGTTTAAAAGTTTATGCTGAATTGAAACATATATTTAGATTTAATAAAAAAAAATGTGCATCTTTTTGGGGATATCAAACCAGGAAAGTGGAAGGATATCATGTTTACTGGAAGTGGTGCGGCCTAGTAAAAACAGCAAACAGAAAGTAGAAAAAATTAGTTTTGACTTCAGGGTTACATAACTTTATATTCTTCGTGGCATGACCCATTTTTTTTCGATTAAATCACAATTTCATATTCAATTTAGTACATACATGATATGCACATGAAAAACAATTTCTATGTAGCATTTTATTTTAAAATGTTTTCAATGATCAGCTTTTTAGCATGTAAGCCTATGGAGCACTCAATTACAAGACTGCAACCTTAAAGGCAACAACTTCAAGAAGAATTCATTTGTCGGGTTTGATATAAAAAGACAGTAGGTTGATCTCAACCTTTTTACATGTTTGCCACTGTTAGATTCTCTATCGTTAGCAGTCTTTAAAATTATTAACAAAACTAGCATTTTACTCATCTATGAGGATCTGGTTGGGGGTCCTCCCTTTCTGTATTCTTTAATATTTTAGGCCAGTTTTGTCTATAATTCTCTATTCTTTATATTTTAGCACTTCATTAATCTCTATTCTTTATTTCTTTGGTCAATTTTTGGTATGATTGCCAACTAGACAACTAGTCATGGATGACCAAACGAAGTGGATGAAAACATCTAAAGATACCTTTACCAGGCCAAAAACAAGCAAAGTCCATACCGTATATGAAATCAAGCAAGGTTAATAAGAAATTATTTTTGTGAAGGACTACTAGTACAAAACGTGATGTGACATTTTACAATACTGTTCTGTGTGGTCTTTTTATAGAACTTTAAGGAAAATTAGTGTTTGTCCTATCATCACTTTTCATTCAACTTGACATTGTCTATATTTTTTAACACATTTTATAGAACTAGCCCCTTTAGATAAGTCTCTCCTTTCTGTGAATGACTACCTGAATTTCCGGGTCGATTGAAGACATTTATATACGTCTTTTTACAGTTCCTAGAAAATGTGACATGGTTGAATCCACTGATTGTTCAATAACCATTGAGTGGTTTATTGATGTCCAAGACAAGTGCCTATCGTATGAGCTGTATCGTCGACCTCAAAGGACAGATGACGTGACTCTCCGGAAATTCTCTTCTTACGATGTATTCGAAGGGGAAAATGGACGACGCATGTACAAACTTCAAAATCTGCTACCTGAAACATATTATGAATTTAAACTACGTTCTGTATATAACGATGTCAAAAGCCATTATTCGGAGTCTATGACCAAGCAGACACTGAAACTAGGTATGGAAAGATTTGGATTTACTTTTTTTCAATTAATTGATCATTTAACATGAAAAACATATCTATTGACACAATCCAAAAGTTGGGTTTTTGTCTCGCCTTGACGGAGTCATCAAGCGAAACATAGGTATGCTGTTTCCGGCGTCGGTGGCGTCAACAATGTATTAGTTTATGGGAACTACTAGTGGTAGGTCAATAATATTTGGTATGCTGTTGCATTAGATTGCTTGGCCACGCTCCCTCAATCATTGTCTATTGACTTTGAAACTTTTGCTCAGTTTACATGTATTAGTTTGTGATAAGGCCAGTTTATTGGGAACCACTAGTGATAGGTCAATGACATTTGGTATACAGTTGTATTACCACTAGCACATCTCATATCCATGGAAATTATTTGGCTCAATCCCCTCAGTCATTTTGACTTTTGACTTTATAAAACTTTTGGTTAGTTTACATGTATTCGTTTGTGATTAGGTCAGTTTATGGGAAAGCACTCGTGGTAAATAAATGATATTTGGTGTGTGTATATGTTAACATAAGCACATCTCATTTCCATGGTGATTGTTTGACACTGTACCTGTAATTATGGTTCATTGACTTTGGATATTATTAATAATTTACATGTAATAGTATTGCTAATTTTAATTTCAACATTATCATTTTACTATAAAAAAAAACACAACGGCCAGACATATCTCTGTGTTAACAGTTTATTTATTTTACAATTCATGTATGCCATTTGAAAGGCCTATATCGGCTGATCGTTTAGATGATTTTGCATTGTACACATTACTGTTTTGAATATATCACCGATCAACATCGTTTTTTGTTGTTGTAAATCGCCTCGAATAATCAACATATAGTCAATTAGTCAATATCTTAGAAACAGAGAATCATAAATCAGCACGCATCGAATGAAAACAAACGTCATCTGATTTTGCACATTTTATGGACATTCATTCCTTAGGAAATGCCTGGGTACGTCGGTTGGTGGGAATGTTTAAGGATTATGACGAAAATGAAATAAAAGAAAGTTCCGTGAAGAGCACTCGTAAACAAACACAACCTGATTACGATAGTGTAGACATAATGTCCGACAGCGAAAATAATCTAAATGAAGACATGGATGAAGCTACGGTTGGAGAAGATGTTTCAAATTCAGATCTTTTGTCCTCATGAAGACGTATATGAATAACAAAATTGCCGGTCTCGAGATAACTTTGAACGATTCGACCCATAGTTTAGCCAAAAAAGTGAAGAAGTCAGAAACCACATTTAAATTCAAAGGTAACAAGGTCCAGTTTGACTTTAACGTAGATGTGTTGGACAATATAGATTCTGCTATTTCTTGTATTGAGAAGAAACGTCCGAATAAAGCTTAGAAGATTCTAAAGTGCTGCTGAACAAACGGAATAAGCATATAAGGATCGCGGATAAGTCCGGAGGCGGTTGGCAGACTGTCATTGAATACTTTTCTGATGAGCTAGCGAGTGATTCGGAAGATGAGAAACGCATTAGGGCCGCGGATAGCAGGGATGTCAAGAATAAAAATAAAGGCAGCTAAGACGGATAAACAACAGCATGGTAGAAAAAGACCCGCAGAAGCGGCTTGTTCGTCGTATCAACAGGCGCATAGTGGTGGAAATTCTGGTGGTAATTGTTTGCAACTTCAGTCCTTTCGTGCAGTGGCATCTGCCGGCGGAGCCCAAGGCCACCAGAGCCAAGCCAAACCGTCCGACGTCTGTTATAAGTGTGGATTCTACGGGCATTGGGCGAGAGAATGTCGCAGACAAAGCAAGAATAAGAATAAGAATAGAATACCCAGAGCACCTCCTTCTTAAAGGAAAAAATCAAGAAACTTTTAAGGTACATGAACAATTTAATATTGACACTTATTTTGAATATGAAAAAGATGTTTCTGATATAACTGTAAAAGGCAGATTAAGTACTTCTTTAAATTTTTGGGTTAGGATTTGTATAACAGATTTTGCTTTTAATATTATCAAAGAAGGTTATAAAATTCCTTTTTTACAAGAACCTTCTTCTGTATTTTTGAAAAATAATATGTCTGCTTTAAAAAATAAAATTTTTGTACATGAAGCTATTTTAGATTTGTTCAAAGGCGGTTTAGTATCGAACAGACCGCACGTTGTAAACCCTCTGACAGTAGCAATCAGCGCAAAAGGTAAACATAGACTTTTACTGGATTTGAGACACGTAAACAAACAGGTGTTAGTAAACAAAGTTAAATTCGAAGATGTGAAAGTTGCTAAACAATACGTTACAAATAATTCCGTTGGATTTCTTTTTGATTTAAAATCAGGGTACCATCATATTGATATTTTTGCTCCACATCAGAAGTATTTAGGTATCTCGTGGAAGTTTGATGGTGTTGAAAAATATTACATTTTTACAGTTTTACCTTTTGGATTGAAATCAGGTGGTTATGTATTTACAAATGTATTACGACCATTAGTCGCGCACTGGCGGAGAAAGGGTATTAAAATTGTCGTATATTTAGACGACGGTTTAGGGTTAGCTGATGATAGTGAAGTATGTAAATTACATGCAGACAGCGTTAAGTCAGATTTTATTTTGTCGGGATTTGTTCCAAACAGGGAGAAGAGTATTTTGTCCCCTTCTTATTCATTGAAATGGTTGGGGTTTATATGGGGTTTACGAAAAGGTGTTTTGCAAATTCCTGAATCAAAAATATTAGACTTGCAAGAATGCATAGGCATTGCTTTAAGTAATCCTTGTAAGGTTAAAATCAGAACGCTTGCAAAAATCTGTGGTTAGGTTATATCTCTTACTCCAGCAATCGGCAATGTTACTCAGATAATGACAAGAGCCGTATTTGCTGTGATTAACGAACGAGATGATAGGGATCAGTGCAATGACATTAACTTCAACAGTGATTTGATTTTTGAATTTGAAAAAATAATGTGCAATTGCTAATGCCTGTCTCTTTATAACCAAAGGCAAATGAGTTTAGTATTTATAGTGATGCAAGCGATATAGGTGCAGGAGGTTTTATACAAAGCTCAACGCATGTAATGTATAAATCCTGGACGAATTCAGAAAAGGTCAAAAGCTCCACATGGAGAGAGGTGAAAGCAATCGAGTTGTGCTTAGTATCATTTGCGCATTTAGTTTTCAACAGTACAGTTGTTTTTATACAGACAACCAGAAGGCAGTGAGCGTTATTGAAAAAAGGTAGCAAGATTTTAGAACTTCAGAACTTGACACTTTCAATTTTAATACGTGTATTGTGAATTGTATTTCTATAAAATTGTTAAATGGATTCCACGAGAACAAAACGAGCAAGCAGACTATTTAAGTCGAATTGTTGATATCGACGATTGGGGGACTTCAGATGAATTTTTTGAGTTTGTAGATAATTTATGGGGTCCTCACTCCATTGACAGGTTTGTCAATATGGCATATAAAAACTGCTTAGATTTAATTCTGCATATTGGAATCCGGGTTCAGAAAGTATTGATTTATTTACATGTAACTGTAATGAAGAAAATAACTGGTTAGTACCACCGGTAACGCTGGCAGCTAAAGTCGTTAATCATTTAGTTAAATGTAGGACTGTTGGAACTCTGATAGTTCCAAAGTGGTCCTGATCGCCGTTTTGGCCGTTACTGTTTGAAGAGGGTTTAAATTATAAACCATATGTTGAAGATGTTTGCAAGTTTTTTGAGGCAAACAGAGTATTTGTTGCTGAACATAATGTAAATTCTATTTTTGCTCAAGGAGATTTTAAAGGAACTGTTTTAGCAGTGAGATTAAATAAATATAGATTAATTGTATTATTTCTGTTTAATTACTATTTCTGTAATTTTCTTTTATTACAGAAAATGTTTACAACTGGTTTCTGGAAACAGAGTCACATTATTTCATTGATTGTATAGAACAACTTTCATCAACAGTACTAGATTCAAGAGCATAAACTACAGTGTCAAAGTACATTGGGTATTTCAAAAGATTTGTACAATGGACACAAATATATTCAGAGATAACTTCGATACTTCCGTGTAATAAATTATACGTCAGCTTATATTTGCAACATCTATTAGATACCAGTAGTCATTGCAGTGTCGTTGATACCGCATTTTACGGTATTAAGTGGGCACATCAAATTGAAGGCGAAAAGCATCCTTGTGATTCAGATTTGTAAGAAGTATACTTGACGCATCTAAACGTATGTTATCTAGACCGTTTCATAAAAAGACACCAGTAGATCCAGATATTATGAAAAAACTTTTTAATTTATATAACAAGAAGTCAAAATCACTTAAAGATTTGCGTTTGCTGTGTATGTGTTATTAAGCTTACACTCGGGTTTTCAGATATAAGGAATTATGTAATATTAAGGCCAAACATATTTCTTTAACTGTTGAATATGCAGACATTTATATAGAAAAGAGTAAAACTGATTGTTAAATTTTTATATTGCTAACTTAGATAGTCCTCTGTGTGCTGTAAACATTTTACAGTCCTATTTGGCGGAAGCTAAAATAGAGATGAGTTCTGATATGAACATTTTAGGTCATTAACATTTTTTAGAAAATCGAATATATTTGTGTTCCGCTCTAAGAACGAGAAATTATCATATACACGAGCCAGAGAAGTGATAAGAGAGGCTCTTCATAGTATCGGATGTTCCGAAAAAGAGTTTGGCTTACATAGCTTACGTTCAGGCGGAGCTACCATGGCAGCTAGAAACGGTATATCAGATAGGCTTTTTAAGATACACGGTCGCTGGAAATTAGACTTGGCAAAAGATGGTTATGTGTCTGAATATATGAAAGAAACATTTATCTGTTACAAAAAAATCTTGGTTTATAACCACTGCTTTCTTTTTGCATCGACATGGTCACCGTGCCGGACATAATCAGAAATGTGTTTTCTTATTTTATATCAGATGATAGAGTACAGTTTGTTTTTGGAGTAGGTTTCAGAAATTAGGTAGCGGTGTGCACATAAATACTTTATGTTCGTTTGAACAAGTGAAAAAGAACATAAATATATTTATGTGCTCTACGCGTAGTAATTTTTAGTCACGTAGTGTCTATTGAAAGAACCGGTTTAAATTTCGCGTGTAGTATATAATGAAAAGGGTCACGTTTTTTTTAAAATATCGAGGTTGGGCGGTGACCACGTAGATCACGATAGTGTAGACATATTTACAGTAGCGTAGAATTGTTATGTAATTCTAAGATCAGTTTAATGTGTACTAATTATGATATTTGTTTATTTTTAGATATTCTGTAAGGCCAGTGTGCTGTAACAAAATTTTTATTTAGTGGACTTTATTTGCATTCAGTGAATCCAATGTTTTTGTGGACAGTAAATTATGTTTGAATTAGCTTGTAATGTTTAATAAAATGACATAGTCACCGTGCCGGACAAAATCAGAAATGTATTTTCTTATTTTATATCAGATGATAGAGTATACGGTTTGGGTTTTGAGTAGGTTTCAGAAATTAAGTAGCGGTGTGCACATTAATACTTTATGTTCGTTTGAACAAGTGAATTAGAACATAACTTGATCTAGCAAATACCTTGCTGGATAGCGTTAAAATCGTATCGAGTCATAGATATAATTAACATAAAACCGATGAAACCGTTCAAATAAACCGTGATTCATAGTCGTGTATTGAGACCAAGCTGTAAACAAAAGGACAAATTAACTAATCTGTGCACCATAAGTTCAGACGCCTAGGTTATCTCCCTTTGACCTACAGAAAATGCTTAATAAGAAACAACTTAGCGTATTTTCTGAATGACAACTAGTATAAAACGTGAATGTTTTTAGTCCGTATAATCTTTTCATTGTAGTTACACGTAATGTAGTTTAATCTTTCCGAGGGAGCGTTCTGTATATTTTTTAATTTTCTAGACTTTCTTGGAAAGTAATGTTTTTTTAAAGTAGCTACGAATTTAAAAAAAAAGTAAAGTGTTCCAAAAAGTACGACTTATGTCTCAATGTTACTTACCCCATGATTACTGCTTTGCGGTGTTCGACCTCTATTTTCCTATGGTAACATCACACCGGATACAACTTTTAGTCATATTTTGAAATCAACCTGATATATTTAACAATCTGCCCTCTGGTGATGATTTATCACTCTTTATACGATTTTAAGCTTTTTTCACGATACAGGAGAATATGTGTCCTATCATTACTTTCATTGAACACGACGTTGTCAGTGTTTTGTGACTAATTGTATATGATTAATCACTTTAAACCATTCTCTCCTTTCTTTGAATAATTACAAAACTGCCAGGTAGTTCGATGACATGTTTATTTATCTATTTACAGCTCCTAGAAAACTTGACATAGTTGAATGCACTGATTGTTCAATAACCATTGAATGGTTTATTGATGTCCTAGACAAGTGCCTATCATATGAAGTTGATTATCGACCTCAAGGAATGAATGACTGGTCTACCGAGACTTTCCTTTCTGAAGATTTATTGAAAGATGAAGACGGAAGACGCATGTACACACTTCAAAATCTGCCACCTGACACATATTATGAATTCAAAATGCGTTCTGTTTATAAAGTTGCAAAAAGCCATTATTCGGAGTCTATGATCATGCAGACACTGAAACTAGGTAGGGAACGGATTTTATTTTTCAATTAAATGGTCGTTTAACATGATAAATGTATATTTACTGACATTATCCAGATTTTGAGTTTTTATTTTTTATTTTTTTCGTATTCAGATATACCAGTTGTTTCGGCTAATTATTTAGAAGATTTTACGTTGTAACGTATATTGTTTAAGTATTTTTGGTTTCTATGCTCTCAAACGTGTCATATTTTGTCCCCACATATATAGTATCGAACAATATATTTTAATTAATTTTTATGGTATATCACACAACATTCTGCTAGATTACAGAAATAGTTACTAGTATTGAAAATCTTCTCGAATACAGAAACAGAGAATCATGAAATAATAGCATCGAATGAAAACAAACTGCATCTGACTTTGCATATTTTATGGACTTCATTCCCAAGGAGCGCCTGGGTATTTTGGTTGATGTTAATGTTTAAGGGGTATGACTTTGATGAAATAAAAGCTAGTTTGGTGAATACCACTGCTGACCAAATAAAACTGGCAGAGATTGAATCATTTATTAAAAATCCCAACGTTTCTACAGACATAAGCAACCTGCCAAGTTGATACAATCTCATATTTTACTTTTATATCGATGACGAAGACACACAAGTACGTCACCATAGCGGAAATTGTGAGTTGGCATATTACAGCATTTACTGACCTTGAAACACGATAGTTAACCAACAAATCGTAGAAACTACATGTATAGTAAATGGGAGATACTTTAGTAGAAATAACGATCAGCAAACAAGATAACATTTTTGAATACTAGTAGGAGTAATTTTTTCTTAAATAAAGAGTGGTACCGATTGTTGTGTTTTTACGGAAAATATAATAGAATGCAAGTATCTGTAAAAATCAAATGTGATCTGCCAAAAATATGAACGAACTTCATCAGTCGACTATGCATGGGAGTCACTGTCAGTTGATTTTTATACTAATTGTTTGCTGGATTTAATGAAATATTTGAATTTCATCATTGTTTGTTAAAAAAAAACTAGGTGAGCATTGCAGGCTCCTTGGAACAGTTTAATGGATGTCCATTATGACAAATCGTTGTTATTGTTTCAGATTTCCTTGATGTGCTGTGTTTTACTTATCTGAAATACGTTGATTGCATATTGGACATTTTCAACTTCAATAAATTAAATGAATAACATTAAAGATACCAATACTCCGACAATCATTATCCCCACAGTGATGATCGAGGCCAACACATTAAATAGTCAGACTTAATACAAACGTCGAAGGGCTAATTAAAAAAGGGCCAACAGTAAAGGCAAATGCTGACATAGAATTAGCGATATGACTAAGTGTGACACATTTCTTAATTATAAATGACAAACTTTTAAACGTTAAACGTTCTTTAACAGCAAATTTAAATTAAAAAAAAAATTTGTTTACTTCTTGTATGCCAGTATCGAAATACTGGCTACTGGGCTGGTGTAACCCTCCAATTTTTCTTGTTTAAAAAAGAAGAATAATAATTCAAAGTAAAAACGACATTTATATTTGATATTCATCTCACTTTTTCAATTTAAAGTTGTATGCCAAATATTGCATCTGTGATCAATTATGCCTATCGCTTCAAATAAGCATGTACATTATATAAACCTTCTGCGCTGTTGTGCAATCCATATTGCACATGACTGTGTGTTGTATCAGAAAACAAAAACAAAACCAACACCATTTTAATATACGTGATTCAAGTGGGGTTTGAAGTTCAATAAATTTTAAACACAATGACAATATAGATCTTATAATTTTAGTTTTCCGCTTAGTTATTAAAAAAGTGCTAGTAGTATGCTTTAAGAGTTTTATTTGTGAGTGTTGAAAACATGTGTTTCGCATTGATTTGAACGTTATTTTTATACATTTCATGCTAGTTTTAAAAAATGCATGTATTTAATACAATATTTTTATTCCCATTCAAGCGTAGAATTAATGTTGAAAAGTAAGTATGGGCAAACGATTGAAGAAGAAATTAAGCAACAATGATCAATTGCTTCGAATTCTTTGCAATGAGAAAATTAACAAATAATAAGATGTCCATTTCCAGATCAATCTGTTTGAATGTGTATTTATTTTGTTTTATATTGTAATTGCCGTTGTACATCTTTTTGTTTGTGCTGAGAAAATCCAATTGTCCATAGTTAGTTTTTTTCATACATCACATTCTATATACAAATCTATTTTAGTTTTGCCAGAAGCCATAAATCACTTATCAGAGGGAGATAAAACTAGATACAATAAGCTTATGCAAACTTCGAAAAAAGAAAACAGGTATTTTGTAAGAATTATGATAGTTGGAAAAAAATCCGCTGGGAAAACATGCCTCTTGAGAAGGTTATTAAAGGAAAGCATATCTGATGTTACTAGTACAGACGGTGTGGATATCGTTGTTCGTAGATGCAAAATCAACATTAGAGATGGAAAATGGACAATTGGCAAAGGTACATAAATACTAAGCGGTGTTACATATTGATCATGAATTCACAAAAAAAGTCATCAATCGAAAATACCTGTTCACATTACTTAAATATAACGAAATATATGTTGCACTATAAATATACTGCGTTTACGTCACGTTAAGATTGTTTTCCACCAAATAATCTTTATTGTTGATCCGAAATTTTTGTGACAATATAATACATTCTAACATTCATTGGAACATATATAAACATTGCGTCATATCGTATAGAAGATAGGCTGATATTTACGTCTTTCTCAAATAAAATTACGGAAATGTCTATTGCAATTAGAAATGATACATTAGGATTTTCAAAAGTATAATTTACAATGCTTATGGCATAATAAATTGAGGGCTACGTATGTTTTCATTTATACATTTACTCTCGCCAATGTTCACGCTGCACGGACTTCTTTAACAAGGATGTGTTCCTCATACAAACACTGTTCCAACAGAGTTATTATAAAGAAATTTTGAAATCGATACTTCATACGGTGACAATCAACAGTTGTATCTGTGTTTCAACTCACTAGCGTCTTAAATTCATTTGCTACTTTAATATAAAAAAAAAATGTTGAATATGTTTTACATACTAGAAATACCAAGTTTAATTTTACGTGAACATTGGATTTATTTTAATAGAAAATCCTTTATCTTTTCAAAATCTTCAGTCCTGCTATTAAAGTATTGTCGTCACTTACTCAAATTCGCCGATAGCTTTTCCTTATGTAGAGACCTTAACACAGAGATCTCTTTGTAGTACTTCGGCAACCGCACAGCGCTCGCGAGGTAAAAATCCTGATTTTAAAAAAGGTAAACAAAGTTGGAAGTTTGATAGTGTTTATTGATTCTAAAAGAAAAGTTTTAACTAATTATTTAACAACTGTTATGACACAATTTAATACTGAAATATAATCGTATGGAATTTTTTATTTTGTCAAAATTTGCTCTTTTGCATGTTTATCATCTCACTTATTTTCACGTGCTCCTTGATTCTGTGTTTGTTTATTAAGTTCACTTTTAGTAAACTTCGGCAATAAAACACAAAAGGCAAATTTGTCACTGAATGAAACATTTTTTGTCGACTACATGTAACTGATTAATGGAACATGTTAACAGTAAATAGTTAAGTAAAGTTAAATCCATCGGTTCCATAATTTCTTTTAAATTATAATTTCAGGAAACTCGTGTAATATGACATTAAATCTCTAGATATTTTTTTACCAGCTTATATACGCGGCATATAATAATAAATGAAACTGTCCCTTCACATTTTAATGCTGTCAGATACTGCTTATTTACGGTTTATCTTCAATATGCCTTAATAAAATTGATAGGTGCACAGTCTAATAAAATAGTTCTTTCACGGACACCTAAAAATTATTTCTAATCAGATCCTGTAAGCACCTTTGTGAGATGTAAAACAAACCTTGGAGAACTGCACTTTTTCGCATATCTGTAATACTATAATTCTTTCACTTAACACTTTATAGTTGTTCCAATAATATGACTTTATGTTGTCCAATCATATGAAAATCTATGAAGCCAAAAAGTATAACTTAAATTCCGAACTCCAAGGTAAATTCACAAAGGAGTAGTTTATAAACAAATCTTCTGACAAACGTTACCAACAAATTGGAACGAGTTGAAAACGACTGTCATATTCCCGACTTGATACAGGTATTTATTTAAGATGGTGGGTTAAACCTGGCTAGCTAGCACATAATTGTAAAACATTACATTCATTAAATAAAAACAATTCCATCGAGGAATGTCAACATTTCAACTGTCCATTGGTCGATTGGTGTTCGACTAACTTCCGGTGCCAATTATTTCATGCCTATTCAGGAAGAGAAATATTATCAATTAATACTATCGGTAGTTCTGCATGGCAGGACTACTGGGATGAAGGGCGGGAATATTGGACTACAACAGGAAAGCAATGCTATGATGGATAGTAACAACAACGTATAGCCACAGCGTTGTAGTTAGAATTATTTTAAGTGTATTGAACATTGAACTCTCTCTTCACGAGACATTGGATTTAATGTCCCTTCTTGTCGGATAGGACTACGAATTAATTCAACCTGCACAGAGAAACGGACGCCTATCTTGTACAAGGTTTTACTTTCAATAACATTTTTTTTAACCCAGTCACCCTTAGAATAACGTTTAAGTGAGGAGTTGTACTTCATTTCAAGTAATGCTGATATTCGCTTAAAAGGTAACACGAAGTACATTGCACTATGTTAATGAACCGATAAAATGCAGGTTCTTCCCATATGTATGGTATGGTTGATGATCACTACTACCAATTTATAGCATTTACAATTATGAACAAGTATTATAGTTTTTACATTTGAAAAAAAAAAAACATTCATTTATTTTTTTATGCCAGAAATTGATGATGATAAGGTGGGCCGCATTAAGAGAGCACTTACTCCTAATGCCGAGGACAGAGACACTCAACATATGCAAGTAGATGAGACAACGAATATAAATACACGACATGATGAGATGTCTACTAATAATAGATATATCACAACCGACGCAAAGGTTAGTCAGGATAAAAGTGAAGATAAAAATGAGTCTTTATCATTGCTTATGCCTGAGGATTTCACAACCGACGTTAGGGATAATCTGGATAAAAATGAAGTTACGAATGAGTCATCATTGGTAATGCCTGAGGATTTCACAAGCGACGCAAAGGATAATCTGGATAACAATGACAAAAAGAAGGAATCTTCATCTTTGGTAATGCCTGAGGATTTGATGTCTCATGTGTTTTCTAGGTCAACTGTAAATACTCCTTCTAACCTTCATGCATTATGTGAATTATGGGACTTTGCAGGACAAAAAGAATTTTATGCTACACATCAAGCATTTTTGACAAGTAGTGCAGTATACCTGGTAGTTGCAGATATGGAGGACGACATAAGTAAACAAGGCTTTAGTCAGTGTTTTGCCGATTTTCAGCATGTTGGAGGTATGTTATCATATCGGAAAATCAAAAGCAAAATGAAATAATAATTTAATATTTAAGATATACAAAGTTATACTTATTCAATATTTATATGTTTTTGTCGCTCCTTACCAATATACAGACTAAAATACCATTATCTAATATTCCGATTTTATTTCCTTTAATAAATTAAAAATTAGATAAGCAATTTACCTAAAGATGTGTGGACATCGAAACCACAAAAGAAGATACGAACAAGGTTAAATGTTGTCTACAATACAGGAATGGTTAACATCTAAATCAATTGAAACAATTCGTGTAAAGTCAAACATATATATAATCCTTTTAAAACTAAACTTTTTTTTTTGAATTTTTAAAATTGTAAAGTAAACAGTAATTCATCAATATTACGAATACATTCGGGTATTTTCGCTACACTAAAGACAATACCAGTAGTCTTTTTACAAATCAAACAATTTAAATACATCAAACATGACATATTTGGAATATTCATCTCATGCACAAAATATGATCCTAAAGTCAATCAACATGATCAAAATAGAACTTAATAGTCAAATTTAAGAAAATCACTTGCAGTATTATGTATTGGTACTTTGAAGTTCTATATTTTTTACTGTTATTCTTATTTAAATTCAGACAATTTCAATTTCAAATACGTTTTATTTCCAAAACCGCACAACCACAATGATTGCAAAAATAAATATTATGATAAACTTCAGACGTAAGCTTCCGTCTCGTTTTTTTTTTGTCTGATTGTCAAAATTCCTTTCCCAAGATTCTGTTGGGTTCTTCATACTAGAACTTCCTTTTTTAATTTAGACCGTTTGAAGTTATGGGGATTGTGACTATTTGTTCTACTCGAGGCATGATTTAAAGTGTTTTAATATCTAAAATAACAGTTGATTTAATTATGTCCTTATGTGGTGATCATGTCAGGAAGTAATAGAAGTGCTAAACACTTCATGCGTGAATTTAAGTAAAGGGTAATGCTAATTAGACATTTTAAAGAATTTATCGATACCCAATCTGGTTTCAGTAATTGCTTGTTGAAGTAAAATATGAAGGCAATCTAGTTCTGATGTATTTATTTACTGTTCAATGGAATAATCGTACCGTGTAGAAGGTGTTACAGATAATTTAAAATGTATATTCTACAATGTGCACCCTTTTCTCAATCTAAAAAACCTTTTATAACCAAACTCAAACTTAGTAAATATAACATCAAATCACATATTTAAAATGTATTTGACAAACAAACAAAAATTTCTCAGATTCCGAAGTTTTTACGACGGTTCACTACAAATCATAATCTTTCATGAAAATTGAGAGAGCAATAGATGCATAGAAAAATTAAGATATACATACTTTCTTATGCCAAATCTGCAAGTTTGTTCCTTTAGTATTATATGTAGCGACATGTTGTGTTAGAAATAGTTTTATTATTTTTCCCTGTTAGGGTACATATCCAAAGTATTCTAGCTGGTTTCGAAACATTATTTATTCAACCATGTTGATACGTTTCAGAGTATGTTGATTTTTGGTTTGATTCTATCCATTGCCATCGAACTACCGACGAACGAACTAGTTATGAACACTTCGATCCTCCGATTATATTAGTTTTCACTGGAAAGGATAAATATGACAAGGTAATATAATTGTAAAACTTCTGAGTTTTTACAAAACTTGACTTATTATCATCCGTTCGATTCCATCTTGGTCGGAACGTCATCATAGAAATATTTGCCAATGAGACATTTAAAGAACATAGTCACCGTACCATCTTCAAAAATTAGCAAAACCTATACCAAAGGGAAGGATAACAACACGCGAAATAATTTAAAAAAAGTGAAACCATCATTTATAATACAACAATAATAACAGACAGACACCACCGAAAACAACAGGGATACAGAATCCTTCTTTTTAAAAGGCACAGTCTACAGGCACAAGTAGAATGTGCAATCTTAAATTTTGATGAACGCTCGACCAAACAAAAACATATTCTAGCAATATAGCTTAATAACACAACTTACTAACAAACAAAAATCCGTTGAATTAATTGATTAATTGTTGCCTGCGTAATTTCAATTGACAATTATTTCATGCATAGTCACAAAAACAAATGATAAAGTTTATATGTTCTGCTATATGAGACGAAAGGGATTGTGCGGGGGAATGGGGACTGAAAAACAATGGTTTGTTGAACAGGGACATACATTTTTCCTCGCTACAGGCCTCATAAGTACCCCTTAAAGAGTTTACTATACAATAAAATTAATGTGTTTGTTTTTCTTTTGTCTTAAGGAAAAAAGGGACACGCACTCATCGACACAAAACATATATAATTTGACGCTATTAAGGCTACCTCAAGTAAAACTAAGTTTGTGGCCTCGATTTTTGAACAAATGAAATTCTGTAACCGTTTAAAGTAAGAAAATTGACAGTTTTCGATGATTTTTCAACGAATAAAGTTCCATAACTCCTATGAAAATAGGAACAGAAATTCGGCCAGGCAACAGGCCACTGCACCGGTCCTTCAAAGAGTTGATTGAAGGGTTCTTAATGTGAAGAGAGCTCTGCACTCTATCTACATAAGACATCGAACTTCACGTCTCTTTTCTGACTGGACACAAGTTGATACATCCTGCGAACTAAACGAACGCCCCACTTTGACAAAGGGTTTATTGCAGGTCGATAAACCACGGAATGACCTTAAATTAATGCCCAGTCAACTTTTGTGGTTTCTTTAAGTTCCCAATCAGACATCTGTCCATAAAGACGATACAACAACAAAAAAAGAAAAAAATAGGGGTACCGCCTTCACCAACGACATGCCTTATAGTAAACTATAGAAGGCCCATAAATTTTCATTTTATAAATTGTGAGAGGTAGTAATACGTTGGAATAAAGATGTTTTTTTTATTGAAGGTTCATAAACTATTCAAATTTCTTGATAATTCTTTTTAAAGTATCAAACATGATTATAGCTGTTTTTTTTGTATATTTTCTCTAGGCAGAATTTAAGAAGAGAGAAAAGGAACTTGATGCTCAAATGGACAAAGTTTTGGGATTTCAAAGCAAATATCATCACTTGCACGACAAGTTGTATTTGTCAAATACGAAAGACAGTGACGAAGAATTTGAGAAGTTGCAATTCGCAATTTACGAGACGGTACGGAAAATGGATAATTGGGGTAATGCTTTTCCGTTAAAATGGATTCTTTTAGAACATTTGATTGAAATTAATAAGAACAACGGAAGAAATTTTATCAATTTAAATGACATGTTCAATCTGGCTAAACATCCTAATATCAACATTCTAGAAAAAGAGGATGTGTTGTTGTTTCTTCGATTTCAGCATAATGTAGGGAACATTATTTTCTTTGAAAATATACCGGATTTGATCATATTAAAACCGCAGTGGTTAGCAGATGCTTTCCGATGTTTAGTCTCAGATAAATTTGATTACAGGAGATTACATCACCTTGAGGACTGGACACTGTTTACACGACAAGGTAAAATAAGTGAATTGTTAATAACAGAACTCTTCAATTCAAAAGATGGAAGTCAGTTTTCAGGACAGACAATTAATTTACATAAAGTTATGGTAAAGCTTGATATATTGGTCAAAATTGAGAACTCACATTATATAATGCCAAGCATGATGCCGTCTGCCAAGTTTGAGGATATTTGTGAAACATTTTGCATTGTTACAGAAAAATGCAAAAGGACGTCCTGGCTTTGTTTTAAATTTGAATTTCTCCCACCTTCTTTCTTTAACCATCTATCTGCCTGGTTTATCAGACAATACCACCCTAGCAAAATAGATGGTGGTATAGCTTTATACCGTGGAATCTGTATGTTTGACATTGATGCATCTGGTTGTGTAAAGATTCTGGTAACTATGTCGACTGATACAATTGCCCTCCAGGTTGTGTCGTTTTCCGAACAACAGAGAGAATTATATAGCGAATGTAGCAATATCTACAGTGGAGTTATACAATTAATTGAAGATGTCAAAGAGAGGTATAAGGTGAAAATATCTTTTAAACTCCATTTCAAATGCAGTGATGGCGATTATTATAAAGATACTTTTGAATATGACACTTTGACAAAAAACCAGGAGTGTTTCTGTCCACATCACCAGAGACATCGATCTGAACAGATATACTCACCTTGGATGAAGACTGAGGTATTTTTTTTTTAAACGGTTTGAACTTATGGAATATATTTCAGTTATCCGATAATTAAAACAGAATGTAACGTATTAAAGGTTTCAAAAACATGTTAGATATGAATATTAGTTGTAAAAATATTTTTCTTTGGCCAAATTATTCTGCTCCACCAATCGCCCCCCCCCCCCCCCACCCCTCTTTATTAATTTGAATTTGCTTGGAATATTCAAAGCACACACCAGCTTTGGAAGATACAATCCCTTCTCCTAAACTGAGCAATTTATTTGAGGTACAGATGAGTGCAGTCCTAACCTGTGCAGCAAGTTAACCTTCTAACCAGTCATTTTGAATGGCCAAAGTTAACCTGCTACAGGATTTGGGTCTGCTCCGCCCAGTCCTAGGACCACAATTAAGTTAACTTGAAAAGCGGATTTGGTCCTAGCACTGTTTTTATGACTGAAGAATAAGATAACTGCATACAGGTCCGCCTCTAAAGTTAACTTGCAATAAATTAACTTCAATTTTGATAACTCCAATTGAACCAGACCTGATCTTAGGTCAACTTCTGGCTGGTCTGCTCAACACTCAGTTAACTACTGACCAGGGCCACTTTTCATCGATTTATGAAACATATGTTTTTTTGTTTGTTTCTTGATATACACAATACGGATTAAATACATTTCTAAATCAAGTACGCAGGAAACTTTGCTTTTTATACAATTTTATCCGGTTACACCGCTGTCGTGCATTATATATATTAATAAGTATCAAATTCTTGAAGTCGTTTATATTTTATATAAAATGTTTCAGTTCTGATCTGTTTTTAAGTATAGCATTATTCTACGCAACTTGGTTATCAGATAGAATCGATTAGCAATGGCAAGAACACAGAGTACATAGTGTATAAAAAAAAATCATGATAAACGAAATATTTGTGTACAGTAACTTATATTTATGGTCGTCTTTAATCAGAGTGCCCATTTTCTACTGATTCCTTTTCTGCATCAATTTAGGGTTACAGCATGTCCTCTTTTTATCAAAATATTAAATCGTCACCACAAATCAGTAGTTTTCATATATTAGGCTGGCTCGTATCACACACAAATATTTGACTGCTTCGACCAAAACTGACCATATTTGTACTTTTTTATGTAAATTAAGATAGCCGCATAATAAATAGGTAAATTGTTTAACTCAGGACGGATTGTATAATACAAATAACAGCAAACGACTTTGAATGTACCTTTGGTATCATTCGCCTCTCTTTTAGAAAACAACTACAAAATTTTGTCCGCTTTAATTAGAATGACAGCATGTCCTCTTTTTATTCAAAATATTGAATCGTCACAAAAAATCAGTCTTCTTGATTGTATAACAAAATTATTTGACTGCATCAAATAAGAGTGCCAACATGTCCTCTTTTTTTTTTAAATCAGTAATCTAGCTCATATCACAAATATCCGCATCAATTTAGAGTGCCATCATGTCCTTTTTTTATTAACAATATTGACATCACAAAAAATTAGTAATCAGACTCGTTTAACAAAATTATAAATCAGTCAGTTTTTTAACTCAGGATTGACAGCAATATTGGAACACAATTACTACAAAATTTTGTCCGCATCAATTTAAAGTTCCAGAATGTCCATATTTGTTCTTATAATGAATGTATGATAAGATATCATCTGGGAATAGTATACTGACAGACTAGTATATTATGTTGGTTGATTGACTGATTGTTGGTAGCTGTACATTCAGTGACAGATGTTTCATTCATGTTCAGGCCGAGTTTATTTTGTCAGACGTCCCAGATATCATTTATTATCGGTAAATATGAATCTGCCGAAATTGACGAAATGGTTCACAACTATTCAACACTTATATATCCGGACAGTATACATTTTTCGCTTTAACATTTCGTCAAAAATAGAATCGTAAATCCAAGGCAAATAAAGGAAATGACTATGAAAAATCCATGTAATGCATAGAATTATATTTAGGAAGGGACTGTAAAAAATAGGGAATGAAGCAACGTAAACAATGTTGTTTATATCCCAGCATATAAAAGAAATATTTCCAATGCGTTGGATAACCTTTCTATCCGCCTTCCAATTAAAAACAAATCTTTCCTTTCTTTTATGATAGCTGCCTGTTTATATATCGATCAGCAAGTTTGGAATTTTATAGCCATAAATTAATGTATATAAGAATATAATATGAAAAAAAGAAATTTGTATTGTGTATAACATGTATAAAGATTCACTAACGAGTATAGTTATCTGTTGTACTGGGCAAATTAACAATACGATTATTGTTTACATAATAAACATTGACAAAAGCTCATGTCTGATATGAAAAGTCTTCAACACAGCAATATGTTTTAAGAAGAACTGTCCTTAGGTCTGGTCAGGAGTAGACCTGTCAATTGATATATGCAGCAGTCCTAAAAAAGCAGACCTAGGTATGCTCTTCCACCGATGAAGTTAACTTACTTGACTGCTTAAAATTTCTTAAGTTAACTTTGAAAGCAGTCAACAAGTCTGCCGCAAGTTAACACTTGTATAGGTTAGGGCTGCACATTTTTGTAAGGGTTAGCAGCTGAGACATTGAGTATCCCACTCTTATATATACCTATAACTATTAGCTTCATGTTTACACTATTTTATTGAGAGGTCAACAGATCTGACATATATCGAATGCATTTATGACTAGATTTAATCACATCTGTGAAAAATACACGAAAAAGCAACACGATGTTATAAATCTTTCTAATATTAACACCGACCTATAGTTTTTAAAGTTCAATTTATTCAGATTGGTCCGCTTCATTTTTAGTGAAAGATGAAAATGAATTTAATTTTTGAAACTGTGATTTTTTTTTATGATAATAGCCCAAACATGGTTGAAAATTGATGAAAAATTGAAAAATCATTAAAAAAGAAGTACATTCAAATGGCCAATTAAAGAACGAAGTGTACCACCACATGATTTTTTCTTCATCAATTACTTTCTTAAAGTCATACAAACCCAAAATCAGGTTAAGAAAAAAAGTTTAATTCCATATGAAATTATGTGGGAAAAATGTCTTACAATTTTAAAATATCGGTAATTTGCACATTTTTCCGTTGATGTGTACTCGCAGATAATGTCAATATCAGTATACTGGTCGTGATAAAAAAATTATATGATTGGGTCAGTTTGCAATTGACATGCGCGAGTCCCTTTAATTCACTAAAATCACACGTGATTTTTTTTTTTGCAGAAACGAACAGGTTTTTTGGTGAATAATACTTGTCATTGTTTCAGTAAAGTAAGTTAAGCTTTTTTTCACAAACTTGTCTAAATTGTGTGAAACTTTGAACAGAAAATGTACGAAAACAACCATAAACTTAAAAAAATGTGCGTTATCCTCCGTATATTTGATAGCTTACCTTACTATTTCGATCTGAGTTTGAATTTTAAATAGTCTTGTGCTTTGTCTTCCTTTTCTGTTTCTTGAGAAAGATTTGTTCAACCTGTTCAGTCACCATTAATTGTTACATTTATTATTTAGATGCAACACATAAATGGTGACCGAAAAGGTACCATAACTGCATAAGAAAAGCTAAGAACAAAAAAAAAAAAGAAATATACACACTTTCGACATTTGTGGTGAGATAATGTTATAAAATTATGGAGATGTGGTTAAATTGCCAATGTACAGTTCAGTATTTCTGTTGTTCCGTTGTTTTCCTCTTATAGTTAATGTGTTTCCCTCGGTTTTGGTTTGTGACCCGTATTTGTTTTCGCTTAATCGATTTATAACTATTGAACAGCGGTATACTACTGTTGCCTTTATTTATAGACAATATTTCAAAGACCAAAAACAAATTAGCGAACAAATAACAGGTTATCGTAGGGCCTTCAACGTTTCAACGGTCCGTGTCGAAAAAAAAATGATGACTTGAAAAAACCACGAAAACTGAAAGTTGAGTTACATTCATTGAAATGTTTGAAATAATTATGAGGTCGATAAGAAATGAGAAAATCTACAGACTCGCTGCCCACACCGAATAGAAATTAAATGTCTGCTTACACAGTGCTTTCCTAAAAATGAATGACATCGTCTTAAAGATGAACGCCCAGCGAAAAACGTCACGATAAATGTGATTGTCTTGAGGATGAACGCACAGCGAATAACGACAAGATAAATAAGATCGTCTTGAGGATGAACGCCAAGCAAATTACGACAAGATAGATGTGATCTTCTTAAGGATGAACGCCCAGCAAATTGCGACAAGATAAATGTGATCATCTTAAGGATGAACGCCCAGCGAATAACGACAAGATAAATGTGATCGTCTTAAGGGTGAACGCCCAGCAAATAACGACTTTGTCGGTAGGCGACTACTTAGGATGGACTATGCTTATTATATTTCATATTTTATTCTACATAGATCTGTGTTTAAAATTGGTAGACTTTTTTCCAGCAGATAAAAAAAAATGTATTTCAAGTACAGTATCATACAAATAACATCAATGTTAAAGGTCAATCATTTTTGGGAGACAAATTACAATGACCTTATCTTATTGACATCACTTTCCCAAAACGCATTTGCACACTGATAATTAGTCACATCTCAGTTATTACAGCTGAGTGGACGTGCTTGTCAGCTCCTCTTTACCCGCTATCTACGATGTTGGTTTACTGATAGAAGGCTCAACAAAGTACTACTTTCGTACTACATGTAATAAATCTTTCTATAAAATTCAGGAAATTCAATTTTTTTTTATACATACCGATATGAAAAACAATGCATATATTTTAATGGTACAAGTTTGCACTGGTATGAGTTTGTAATAATATGTCTTCACAGTGGTACGAGTTTGCAATAGTACGACAGAACTCACCACACTTCAGAATTATAGGGAGAACTGACTTCTCCCTGGTTGCCAAGCAGGGAGAAGTGAAACCCAACAGAGAGAATCCTGGAAGACATGAAGCCCCAACAGGGAGACTTAAGGGAAAATTGAAGGCTCACGTTAATTCTTT